TTTGTTCATGAGAAAATGAGGTCATTTGCCATTAATATGGTAAAAATAATTTAGCTAAATTTGCCCAAGCATTTGGAAATGGAAAATATTTTCTGCAAAAACAGAAAACAAAAGTGAAAAGTGTGTGATGAAGAAGAGTTTGTCTATAAAAGAGAGTTGCTAGTTGCTGTCTTTTAAAGTAAAACACAACACAACACAACACAGCTTCAAGAAAAGAGTTTGATGATTGAATCTCTTTTAGCATAGACTGTAAGAACAGCAAGCAAGATGATGAAAAGCTCAAGTGACATTTTGCAACTGAGATGACAAGATACTTTTGGGGGCAAACATTTTGCTTTTGATCTTGCCATCAACCCTCTCTTTGCAATTGGATGTTTGTGTAAAAATTTCTTTCCCAAATAATAATAATAATAATATTTATTATTATTATAGTAGTAGTAATAACAATAAAGCATCAACTTTACAAAAAGATATCTATTAATTCTTATATATTTTTAAATCTTTGAAATTTGAATTAGTATATGAACAAAGTCTTAAAGTTTCAATTATTTGGAGATGTAAAATTGAATTGGTAAGAATGTAAAAGTTACTGAGAGCATGACATCTCCTTTTGTTTTATTTTCTTTGCTTCTTTTTCTCTTTTCTATCTTCTTATCCTTTTCTCACTTTTTTATTATCTTTAATTAAATATATTAGTGCTCTTGTCTTTTATTGTCTCCTTAATCCACATTATCCTAAATGAGAAATTTATATTTCAGAAATCTTCTTATGATTTTAAAGATGTAAAAAGAAAGAATCCATGAGACTTTTCGGAGGGTCAATAATCTATTTATATTTTTAAGATCAAATTCATGTCACTCGGGATGTAAAAAAAATAATGTTATTGTTACTAAGAATAAATTGATTTGCTATATGATAGTGGCATGAGTGTCTGCATGATTTAACTTGCTGTCAAATAAATGAGATCATTGATTGTCCATTTCATGCTGATACACCTCTTCTCTGTGTTTGCAAATGCACCTCATGATCAAGTGGGTAGAATAAAACAGTAGCTCAGAAGAAACAGTCTTCTTGAGTTAGAAAGTGCTCTTTTTGAGTTGATGTCATATTCTTATTTTTCTCCCTTTTTTTCAGGGCCACTGTGGACATGAATAACTGAGGGATCTTTAGGACACCATTAAGCCCTAAATTTTGCTGCTAAAAAGAGGCTTCATGTGCCACAGAGAAAGACTGGTGGTGCCAGGAGCAAGTCCCCACTCCTGCACACTTCCTTGAGCTATCCAATTTCCTCTTCCTCAAAGGGCTGCTATCAGTGTTCATGGTCACCAACTTATGATGATGAGAGCTCTGAAGTGAGCTACACATGGCAGGTGTCCAACCCTACTGGAAGATGGAGATACTGAGAGGAAAGTGAAGAAGAAGAAGAAGATGAAGAAATCAGTCTGCTTTGGTTTGCCTCATCTCTCAGTTTGTCTGATATCCAAAAAGAAGCAGATCTAAAGGTGTTTGGAGAAGTGAGGATTTGTGATTGTGTGGATTAAAGCTGATTTTGAGTGGAATTTGGCTCCTTACTGTTCCATCAATTCGTTACCTTTAACTTGAAAGAGTAGGTGAAGATGAATAGATGTCATATACCAGTATTCATTTTCATACTAACTTTGATCATCTTTACAATGATTGTGGAATAGATGTTGGACTTAGAATTCTCAAGCATAATTCACACTAAGAAAAGAAGAATTTGTGAGTTATAATCAAAATCTCTGACAATGTTCAAAACACTAAGAATCTTTCTAATTCTATATTTGTAATTTAGAATATTTCTAAAATTATTTCTTAGAATTATTTATGAAGAAATAAAAAGCAAACAAAGAACAAAAAAGGGGAAAGAATCATTTTATTAAGGAAGACCATTCTGCACTATTTGGTAGGGAGAATCTAAAACTCATCTTCTTGGGAGAAGATAAACTATAGTTATTGTTTTTTGTTTATAATTTTCTTTTAGTGTTTATCTTTTCTCACTTTCTCTTTTCTTATTCATTTAGTGGGATTTTAATATTAAAGCTACTTAGTCTTCCAGTGTTTCAGACTCTCTCTCTCTCTCTCTCTCTCTCATATCCATCATCTTCAGAAAGAGTCCAAGAACCCTCACATTAGAATAAAAGGTGATGCTTACAGGAAAACAATGGACCATGAGATGGTTTTGCATTGCGACAAAGTAGTTTGTTCCCTCTCTACATCAGCCTCCTCTCTTTATGATGGGCTTATGTCACTTGAAACTGTCCTCAGACAGACATCAAATGGTTGCAAGGAACATTATTGTGTGCCTGGTCATTTTGCACCATCTAAAGCCCAACACCCCCTCTTTCTCTAAACCTTTGCAATATTTTTCCTTATTGCTAATCCAACTCCACAGCAACCAAACAAATCTTCCACTGCAGTGAAAGGGAAATCATGACATGGGATGTCAGGAACTTTGTTACAAGAAGACAAATGGATTCATGCACATGCCATTGCTGAAATGGAACCATGATTCTGTACTTGAAAGAGGTTGCAAGATTAGGCAGGAGTATCAAGGATTAATTAAGCACTGCTAACAGCAATAATGAAAGAAGTTTATTCTTTCCATAGTGACTTCCATGCAGATATGAACTTCCTTGGCTAGTGGAGTTGTGGAATGTGGTGGGTTAATCTACTGAGTTGGTTTCAGCAATGATCTTATCCATTTAATGAGCATGACAAGCACCATCTCAGTTGGAACAATTCCTTTCCTGTTTGAATCAGTGAGAGAGCTTATCTTATTAACCAGTGTGGAAGATCTTCTTATTAGTTGAAACTCGAACTTGATCACTGCATATGATGCACATGACCAGAGAAATCAAAAGAAACACACAACTATGAGCAAACAGATAGCTTAGAAGAGAGAATCTACATTACTTTATGTGAATCATACTCTCTTTTTTAGTGTTGAATGAGACCAATGACATGAGATTCTGTACAGACATCACACAACACATTTAGCTAACCAGCAAAGTTTCAGTGTGATCCATCAAGGATGCCTAACATATGGAGGGTATCATCAACAGTTCATCAACCAACACCATGTTTGGAATTTAGAATGCAGGAAGGGATTGGGACTCTAGAAGTGGAGTTGTGTGATATTCCTCTCAGGAACTTTCTGCCACAAGTTGTCCATATTTTATGCATGAAATGGAACTCGGAATCAAACCTATTCAGTACTTTGGGGAAAAGCTGAAATTATTTATCAGGATTAATGAATAAAAATAGATTAATAATCCCCAAAAGAGACTGCTTAACTTTCTTTATCCCACTTCTAGTTACATATCATTGTTCCTCATTCACCGACTCCTCGTCAGTGTAAGTGCTTTGGGGATATCTTAAACTAGAAATCATCCACTATGCACCCTGCTCCAATCCCACAAACATGCCTTTGTCTCCATTGTGTGGTTAGAAGGTTAGCAATATGAACACTAAACAAAAGCAACAGCCTCAAACAAAATCCATCTCACCATCATGTTAAAAGTATAGATTAATTATATAATATCTTTTATAATTAGCTACTTTTAGTCCTAATATCGATATTTTTAAAAATTACATTAGGATTTCTATACTTATAAAAATAAAAAAATTATTCTCATTTCTTTTGACGATTCTGCTAACGAAAATATCAAAAATACTATCATGTATAACAAATAATATTAAAATATGATTAAAAATTAATTTTATAAAATTAAAAATCAGGAGAGAAAGGGTCTTTGTTGGAAAATGAGGGAGTGGTATTCGGTTGTTTTACTTTTTTCTTTCGTGTGTCGAAAGTTTTGTTAAGAAATAAAGAGAAGCATTCGTTTGAAAGAATCTCTCTCTTGTCAAAACTAGAGAAGAGGACGAAGTCAGATAAGGAAAATGCTTTCACAAAAATTATAAAAGAAAAAATTAATATTGGTGATGATAGCACTACGAAATTATCTTTTAAACCATATTTTAGTATCATTTTTTGTATGTCACAACACGTATAATATTTTCGTCAGTAGAGTCGACGACATAAGAATAAATAAAATTAAATATTTTATTTTTATAAGTATAAGAATCTCAATATAATTTTTAAAAGTCTAGATATTAAAATACTAAAGATAACTAATTATAATAAATAATATATAATTAACTCAAAAATTATGAGCTAATTATGTTTATGATATCAAGACAATTGAGTTCTCTTCCTTGGATTTGAAGTTACTTGCGATGTCTTATGTTTATCATGGAAATGTAAACAGTGGTGTTGCCAAAGTTGGAATCCAGTCGTCTCCAGCACTCTTATTTTGGAAAGGACTCCCAGATTCATGGTATTACTATGGTTGGTAGGGGCGGACGACACTAAAACGATAGATGAAGCTTCAAAATGCTTTAGTGAGAGGAAAGAAGGCAATGCAAAGGGACATTGATTGAGGTGGGACTGTAACATCATTAGTCCCACATCGGAAATGGATAATGTGTCTGATTGACTTATAAGGGTCTGATGAGTGTATTATTATTAACTTCAGCTTAAGTATTTTGGTCAGTGGATTAGATCAAACGAAGTTGATAGGCTAATTAGCTCATCAGGCTCGGGTCATAATATTTGGTATCGGAGTCAGATGACTCGTTACGACATGGAGCCAGGGTCTGATCTGGGTTATGTTTGTAACATCTCATTAGTCGAGATTGTTTTGGATACAAGCAAACCATTCGATCATACCAATATAGATTACAGGTAGAAAAGTGTAATTGAAGGTAAATGAAACAGATTCATAGATGTCAAAATACATGCAGTCTAGAGTGAATATAAACTGAAGAACTCATTTTGAATGAGATTAGACATAATTTTTTGAATAAGGTTAAAATCTCTTCATTGGCATTACATAGCTTGCATGAGGTGACAACTACATCACCAAAAGAAAAAAGACGAGGGGGAAGGAAAAAGGAAGAGGAGGTGACAACTACATAATGCCCTCTCTCTCTCTCTCTCTCTCTCTGTTACATGACATGAGTCCTCCTTCCAAGTACTAGCAGCTAACAGCCTATGGCTCCTCCTTGTCGGTCTTCACGGAGTTCTCTGCTACCGAGTTGTTGGCTTTACTCGTCTCCAGCTCATCTTCATCCAGCTTCATTGTCCCCTTCACTGCTAGTGGTATATCCATGGCTTCCGGCTTCTTCTCCTTGTTATCCTTGTGCTTGCCCCAAAGAACAGAGTAGAGGCCGACAACTATGAGGACTGCTCCGACCACTCTGCAAGCAGAAGACAACACAGTGGAGAGCTTCTAAGTAACTTGGTGGCCATCATGGATTCTTACTCGCGGATACAGTAATCTTACCCTCCCAAATAGATATTCTCAGCGAGGATGAAGGAGCCCATTATTGCTACAATTATCATCATTAGAGGGCTGAAGGCAGAGGCAAACACCGGCCCTCTGTCCTGCATCACCAAACTCTGGACGTAGTAGGCAATGCTTGATGTCACGATCCCCTGCACAATCAAATCCAATAGGAAATCTCTTCAGCAACTCACAAGCTAGAAAGAGAGAGAATTAGAGAGAGAGAGAGAGACAGAGAAAGAGACTAACGGCATAAGCAGCAGCAAGAAGGTTCATGTCGAAGCCTATCCTCCAAACGGAAGGCTTGTGCTCCATGATCAAGGTCACAGCAATGGCTTGCAGAGTGCCCATGAAGCATATAAGCGAGGTGAGGGAGAGGGGAGCATCATATTTCTTCATGGTTGCCGCCTGTTGAGCACGAGACCCATAACACGAATTGGTCGACCAAATCCTGTGCCAAACATATTGCTCGAACTTCTACCTGAAGGATGAAGAGAGAAGCCCAAGCCAGAGTGGCGATGATGACGAAGACGCAGCCTTTGAGCCAGTCCTTGTCGGTGCCATCGGCCGCGGCGGCCGGCACGTTGCCTTGGTGTGGATCTGCATGCTTCGCCCATCCCATCTCCATGATCGGTCCCTTGTACAGCGTCATCAGCATCGCTCCAGCTACCGTCACAAGCGTCCCCGCCACCTTGGCCTGGCATCTCACCTTCCTCATGTGCAACTTCTCCATCCTACCATGACCGGGGTATCATATCAACCTGGCATTAACTCAACGCGATTGCGGGAAGACGGAGTCGGTTCGACCCGATGATCTACCTGCAGATGACGGCGAGCACGAAGGTCATCGCAGGCAGCATGTTGCTCAAGGCGCAGGAGAAGGTCGGCGAGGTGAGCCTGAGCCCGACGTAGTAGAAGTTCTGGTCGATCACCGGCCTGCAAACCACTTCTCAGCCATCAACGGGACGCAATCTTCCATGGCAAAATGATGGTCAGAGAGGTGATGGGTAGTACTAACCCGAGGAGACCGAGCACGAATATCTGCAAGAAGATGGGGAACGTGATCTTGGGTCGAACGTTCCTGCCATCAAGAATCAAAAGATGGGAAACCGGTGAGGGTGTTGTCGTCGTCGTCGACGATGCATGGTGGCGGTGGGGATGTACCTCTCGAAGATGAGGGCGAAGGGGGCGATGGAGAGGGTGGCGAAGGCGTGGCGGTAGACGACGAGGACGTAGTGGCTCATGCCGTGGTTGAGGGAGACCTTGCTGATGATGTTCATGCCGGCGTATCCGAACTGGAGGGAGATCATGGCGAGGTAAGGCTTGCAGGATCGGAAGAGATTGCTGCGGCGATCCATCTCCGGTTGCTGAGCAAAGCTGGCGAGCAGAGTGAGAGAGTGCAACGAGAGACTATTTCGTGCGTTTCTCTCGTGAGGAGGAAGTGATAGAACATTTGGGCACCTATTTATGGGCCACAAATATGCACAATACGCGCCAATAAGGTTGGAATTCAATTCATGTGTTACCACTTGTCATGTCCTCACTTGAGATCGTCTAAGACATGTTAGTTACGACACGATACTCGTTGGTGCTAATCTCATTCGAGTCACTTACGATCTTTACGAAGAAAAAATATTAGAAAAGTAAACATACTGAATAATATAATCATCCACAAGAGAATCAAGAATAAATTGAACGATCACACAAAAAGGATCTCGAAGTTATATATAGACTCAATGCGAATAAAAGATGTAGGTATGATAATCACGTATATTTTTATCTACTCACTAAGGATATTATATCACCCTTCTTAAATAATATTTTATTTATAAAAATAATCGATGAAGATAGAACTCATAAGATAGTTTACAACTCTAAAAATTATCAAATAAGCACAAAATGATACATTTTTATCACACTAATTTTCTAGATGTACTATGCAAGTAATATCACTTGCATCAATCATTTTGTGCTTCACAATAAAAAAGAAAAGATTAAGCTTGATTAAAATTATTGGCCATTAGCTTAGAATAAGATATATTAAAGGTTTAACTATATTTTGATTAAAATTATTGACCAATAGAAATGGAGTTTTAATCATAGGAGATTGTCTCGATGGATGGACTGTTTACTTTGTTATATAATGATAGAACCTCTATGAATTCTTCGATTTCATAAATTATAGTGGTCATGTATAATGTAGAAAAAATGAAAAATAGTCTAGTGGTTATGTATAAAGATCTCACATAAAGGAAGAGTGAGGTTCAATATGAACTCAAGCTAATCATTTTCCACAAACTCAATCAATTTTTTGTTGAAAGAAGTGTAAGAAATTATAGGAGGAATAGTTCAAATTTCAACACTTATCATTTATTTAATTTTCTGTTGACCTATTAAATATTTTAGATATAAATTAATTTTTTTGAAAGTCCTAATTGGTTTAGTTACTAAATACTTTGAAATATCATCGCAAGGTTTCGGACTTGAATCCTGCCTTTATCACTTATCTCTTTATTAAACAAATAATTTTTTTATTTTTATATCTCAAAAATATTTTTTTATATAATATAATCGAAGGAAAGTATAAATTCATCTTTTGATCTCGGATTTAAGGTTTAGGAGTTGAAAGAGATTTTTTATCTTAGGACAGTGATTACATTTTTTGGTTCTTTCAATTCGATCATCTCTATTTTTATTTAATTATTGTTTGTATTAGGATTAGATCTCTTTTATTTATTTTCCTTTGTGTGTATGTTAGCATCAGTCAATACTTCCTATCTGCAGGTACGCATATATTAAGAAATCAGCATGAGCATTTTGTTGGGAAAAACAACGGAAAATTTTTCGTCTTTTGTATCAAAATGTTCCTCATCAAAATACCAACTTGATATTAAAATACTAATATCAACCAATACAACATAAATAATAAAGTAATAAATCAATCACATAGTGAGACCAAATCTTTTAACGTGAAAAATCCAATGTGAAAAAAATCACGGGATCATAATTCACCTCAAACTTCCACTATCAATAGTAATAATAACAGGTTTACAGTAAATCTTCTCTAGAATAACTATAGGATCATAATAACATCAAGAACATAGATCTTGATTTAAGAATAACATATTATCATCACATAGGATGAATCTCCTCGTAAAAGAATTCTAGATCTCACAAAGTGGGTATAGCAGAAAAGTACCTTAGAGAGGGTAAACTATAGATCAACAACGTTATGATTGTAGAGTTTACTACAAAGATTTTTCACATAAAATTTGGATTAAAACTGATCGTCAAACAAAACACTCAAAATCCTAATCTTTCTCTCTCCTTTTTCTCTTTCAGTCTTTTCTCTCTCTTTTCTCTTCCTGTGGGCTGCCGCCGTTTGCTACACACACAAATCACTTCTCTTTCTCTTATTTTATCCTATCTCACATATTTCTCTTTTAATTACTGATTTCTCTTTTAATTACTTAGACTCAATAGATCCAATTGTCGAAGCACACATATGTATTCATCTGTCTTGGATAAATTTGGACGCAACACAGAGTGCAACATTGTTTTGTTGAGCTGATGAGGTTTGACCGTGTTAAGATTTTAGGACTAGGAACTTAAAACCCTGCTTAGATATCGGCCTCCAAAGCAACAAATTGGGCATGGGATAAAGGGATAAAATCGTCTGTATCACCACGAGCTCCTACTCTTAATTTTCTGTGTTCTTGATTAGCTTGTGCTTCATGCGAAAGAATGTCCAATTTCCACTGCCATTGCCGTAAAGCTAATAAGATTCAGCCTGTTTGGTCAAAAGATTCATCCAACGACACCTCATTGCTTTGGGTCTCTTTCTTCAATCTAGTAGCAACTCAGCGAGCTGTTCTTGTCTTTTTATCTTGCTTTGTAGAGCAACAAATAATAAACAATCTCAATTCTCACATCAGAGATTGATTCACAATGATACTGCGACACCAGCTTTATGAAGATTGTTTTGATTAGAGAGAGATGCGTGTTTCCAGCAACAATACAAGCTAAGATGAACATGTGCAGAAGAGAAGGGTGCGGATTGAAAATTCCTTCCATCAGATTCAAAGTCCGATTCGGATTCAAGTTTCCGAATGTGCAGTGATTGTCACAGGACAAGGGGAAGAGGAGACTTACGAGACTTCATCTGATTTCACCTGCACAAAAAGCTCAATCACATGGGGTTTAACGCCAAAGCACATTTGGAGATGGTGATGGTGTCCACTGCAACATGCAAACAGGCATTCTTTGCCTAATACCGTTGGGCTGTATCAGCCTAACATCCCACCTCCTCGTTTAATCTAATCCTAATTCATATTATGAAGTATAAGTGACTACGTTTTAAAGATAGAAAGAGGCATAGATAAGGTAGCAACGAGGGCACAGATGAGATCTTGGCAGCAGCAAAAAGAGGAGAAAAAGACATAAATCCAAGGAGAAAGAAATGAAAGAAACCAAAGACAACGTAAAGAGACTATTGTATTCTCATCTCAAGTTAGATCAAATCTACAGTAGATTCTTACTATGATTACTTAGGGCGAATTACTTGGGGCGAATTAGGGAGAATTTAGAATTTTGTGCACGGTGACGTGATCCGTGTATCCTAGTTATTCTCTTGTGATTATTACTAGGGTTTTGGACAAGAGATTAAGATTTGTATATTTATTATTCTTATAGTAGATTATCTCTAATTTGCCCCGTGATTTTTACCCTTCACATTGGAGGGGTTTTCTATGTATATCTTGGTGTTGTATTTGATTATGATTCTATTTAATTCCGCTGTGTGTTATGGCCTGCTAGTATTTGTTCATATACAAAAGTTTATTTCTCTTTATATCCTATCAATTACAAAATCGTTAATTTATTTATAGTCCGTCTTTCTATCGATTATTCTATCGATCAAAGAAAATTGTTTGAAGAACATAGAGATATTATAGCATGGGATTAAAAGGGGCTAGAAAACGATAACCAGTCCAGAGAGACTTAGCTACTTAAAACCAAGTATCGATTAGAATAAAGATAGACTCAGAGGAGTATCATAGTGCCATAGAGGCAGATCTATTAATTATGAAGAAAAAGATACAGATACAAGGTGACGAATAGTAGGGTCACGGGCATAGCATTGTCATGGTACCATAGAGGTAGGACTTTCGTGAAGTCAACAATCCCTTATTCTCGTGGAGGGAGAGCACTAGGTCATGAAAGGGGCTAAGGAGGTGGAGAATATAGAGGCAAACTCCAAGTACTAAGACAAGGCTGAAGGGTAGAGGCCAGAGAACTTCATAAGACTAGTGTTAATGAGCTTCTCATCAAGATAATTGAAAGTGGAGGATTTTGGGTCGATGCAAAAGTACTCGACCAAGGAATGAAGTAGATAGTATGTGATGTTGTACGTTTGCAACTCAAAGGAGTCGACGGTAAAGATGATCGAGAAGATAGTATAATCCCAAAGGCGACCAAAACTATTAGAGACTTGCTATAAGTTAGAGTGAAAACTTCTTGTATTTCAGAAGTTCGATGGTATTGAGAAGGTGAATCATAGTAGCTAACTCAATACAAGGAGTGCAAACACTTCGAGTGCTTTAGAAGTATAAGCAAAAGAGTGAGTGAAGGCTAGTAACCAGCTCGATGTATGAAATATAATCTTTAAGGAGGCTGGCAAAGTCAAATAACCTTTGTCTTCTCAACCCTTAAAAGAATGGGTGAAACTAAGTACCCCAATTCTCTTATCTATCCAGCAAAAGAGCTCTGGATATGTTCAAAAACCTTTTGAAAAAACCTAATGGAAATCAATAGTTATCAAATCCTCACTAATGGTAATCAGTACTACTGAGAGTAGATTATTCACTTCATTTCCTAACTGAATGTGTCTCGAAAGCATAAGTAATGAAAACCTACTTGGAAGTAATGACTAAGTAGAAGAAGAATTGATGGTAAATTTTACAGATGAAGAACCCAAAATCTTTAAAATCTATGAGGCGATGCTCGTTAAAGTTCCAACAAGCATCCACTTAATTCAAGTAACATGAGGCATTTAAGATACTAGCACATACTAAGGATGATCTTTTCCTTCATCTAAGAGATATGTAGAAAATAACAGGGATCAACACAACTTGGTCGACCCCACACCAGGGCCAGAGTCATTAGCAAGTTGAAGCAGCATGACGGATCAAAGTTCGACTATTCAACAACAATGGGGGAGTCTAGCTAGGAGCCAGGAGGCATATTGTAATTGGATTAAAAGATTAAACACTCAATAAAAACAAGGAGATGTAGCATCTATAAAAGCTTTGATAAGGATGTCGAAGTAATAAGTGAGGGAGAATGTCACAGATAAAATTATAAATGAGGTGTTTGATGTAATGCTCATGTTTGTCTGTGTCTTTTGGTTTTCTTCATACTTTTCACAACATATAAATGACTGATAGTAGGTTTAA